GGTAGAACACTTGCCTACCATCTGTAGGGACCTAGGTTTGATCCCCAGCACTGCAAAGAAAAGGTTATATAACAGGCTCAGTCATGGTAACACATATCTGCAGTCCCAGCTACAAGTCTAAGAGTAGTGTGGGCAATGTAATGAGGCTCTTCTCAAAAAAATTCAAAAAAGTAAAAAAAAATCCTTATTTCATAGTGAGAAATCAGATAGGCAGCTAAATGATCCAAGACAATATGCCCTTTTCACTAGCAGAACTAGAATCTAGCTTAACTGCTCTATGATTGGTTTAATTTTTTTTTTCCAGTCCTGTGGCTTGAATTCTGGGCCTGAATGCTGTCTCCGAGCTCCTTTAGCTCAAGGCTAGTTGCTCTACCACTAGAGCCACAGTGCCACATCTGGTATTTTCTGTGATTAATTGTAGATAAGAGTCTCACAGACTCCTCTTCTGAACCATGATCCTCAGATCTCAGCCTCCTGAGTAGTTAGGATTACAGGCATAAGCCACCAGTGCTGGGTTTAATTGGTTTAATTTTTAATCTTTAAGTTTCATGGAAAATAAACCATATTTATAATTTTATTATCATATAAAACAAGTTAATCTAAGATAGTCAATTTTATTTTTTAGTTTAGTTTATTTAGTTTAGTTTTAAAAGTTTCTGAAGTTAGCAGATTTGTGGACATTAGGTAAAGAAACTATAAGAGATATAAAACCAAAGAAGATTTCTATGTAAATAATGGTATTAATATTTAATAGGACCAAAAACAATGCTAAGTATATCCCCCTCAAATCTTTAAACTGTATTACAGATATTCATGTCATATCAAGTTTTGAGTATTTTTTCCAGAAGTTGTTTATTCACATTAACAAGTGCTTAGTTTTATAAAACATATTTCAATTTTAATTTTGAAAGGAAAAAAGCTCACCTACATTCCTATAATTTCAAAATTCAATAATTACAAAAAAATTACAAAAAACTAAGCTAGAAATGACGACACTTTGGCACCACCTCGTGGTCACATATGAAAAGGCAAGAGAACAAGATGGTCCAAGCTGTGTATAATAAATCAGCCAGGAGCTCTCTGTTTACCGGTGGGTGTCTGTCAGATAACATTGATTTGATTGTAAAGGACTTTCCTGAAGTCTTTCTTCTGGTTTAAGATGCATTCCTGTATGCATAGCCTCAGGAGGTTGAGGCAGAAGAATTTAAAGTTCATGGCCAGACCAGGTTACACAGTAAGATCTGTCTCAAAACAAAGGTGGTGTGTGTGTGTGTGTGTGTGTGTGTGTGTGTGTGTGTGTGTTGTGTGTTGTTATTCCCATCTTTCCTCCTTGGTCATCTTCAAAAAATATATTCTGAAGTAATAAATACTCTAATAGGACCAGCAAGTATTTATACATACATAGTTTGTTTTGTTTTTGTTTTTGTTGGTTGTGGTGCTTGAACTCTGGCCTGGGCGCTGTCCCTCAGCTCTTCAGCTCAAGGCTAGCACTCTACCACTTGAGCCACAGCTCCACTTCCCATAGCTTGTTTTTTATCCTACTGAAATTTTATGTTCATGTTTTGTCCGGCTGCTGAAGCACCACACTTTCTAGGCTTTACTTCTACCTCATGGTCAGTCCTAACTGCTTCCAGTTTTGATGAACTTGGGAAGAGGGAATAGGCCCTTTAAAAGCGAGTATGCTCATGCTGGATGGGAATGGTCAGAGAAACCTGTAACTAAGTAGGGCAGTCTGCTAATTTTAGGATGCCATTTTTCTTCTTAAAGGGTAAGTATATGAGTTGCCCGGCCTTTCACAGAGACCTGGGGTTCTGTGAGGTCTTGGGGTTCGTTTTGTTCTGTAGAGTACTCCTAGCTTTTAGAACAGGGTTGGCCCACAGTAGACATTCAACAAATGTTTGTGGTAGGTGTGGATGAGTCAGTAATGAAGGTGATATTGGGCCCCATCTACCACTCATTTTATTTCCTTACTATACTCAAAACCCTAGTGAGGAGGGGTGATTTTTTTTATTGGTTGGTCCTGGTAAAGCCCCTCGACTCTTTGACCGAAGTGGCTTCTTCATTCACATCATTCTGGTCTTTCTTCAAATGTCATCTTTCTCACAGGTTTTTCTGTCCTTACCATTTAAAATAATTATTACGACTGTTTCCCTGCTTGACATCATCACGTTCTTTACAACTGTGGTCTTCTATGTGCCAGGCATTCTTCTCAAAAAGAACCTTTGTCAGGTTCCTGTCTGCTGTTAGGATGCTTATAATCTTGAGAAGGGAGTTAACAAGAAGCACACAGCAAATGGTGGAAATTTCCTACAGAGGAAATGTAAAGGTCTGTCATGTAGGCAGAAGCTGGCCTTAGAGCAGGTCCCCATGGACCATGGTGAAGGGCTTAGATTTTTGTTCTTGGTGGGTTGAGAAACTGGAGGATGTTTTAGGGATAACAAGCGTGTTAGGAACTTAAGAAATAATTGCAAACATAATGGGAAGGCAGTTGGTATCATATGCAAATTTGGACAAAAACAAGCGAGTGCTGGGTCAGACATGTTGGGCTATGTCCCAGAGGCTCACCCCAGTGTAGAAGGGACTCTGGACCACAGGTTGTGAACCTTGACAAATGATTTAATGCCGAGTCTTGTACTCTCTAACCTCTCTAGCCCTCAGTTCCTGCCGGACAGGAACAATGCTCCTACCACCAGATAGAATTGTTTTATTCAGGGTCTTTCCCACTACAGAATTAGGCACAGTTGTCAGGACTTTGCCTTGATTACTACTGTATTCTAAGTACACTGCCCAGCAATAGTTGGTCCCTGTACAAATGCAGAGTGAATAGCTCACTAATGAATTTTTCACGTTCAACCACTGAGACTCAAAAATCATTTTATTGGAATGAAAAAATAGCCCTCAACTTTTATTTCCCAGTGTGGTTTTCTTAATTTCTTCCACAAACAATTAAAATGTTTACAATGCATTTTCTTATACTTTAAATGCATTATACTTTTTTTTCTTCCAGTTATGGGACTTGAACTCTGGGCCTGGGCGCTGTCCCTCAGCTCTTCAGTTCAAGGCAGTGCTCTACCACTTGAGCCATAGCACCACTTCCGGTTTTCTGGTGGTTTATTGGTGATAGTTTCACTTTCCTGACAGGGCTGGCTTTGAACCGTGATCCTTAGATCTCAGCCTCCTGAGTAGTTAGGATTACAGGCATGAGCCACCAGCACCCGGCTCCTAAATGTATACTTTTATAATACTTTTTTTTGCTGTGAATATTTCACTAATATTGCTGTATATACCTATTATTATTTGAAATACAAAGAAACTCAGTAAGTACACAGTAGTATTTTTCAATGTGCTAGTGCAATTGAATGGAGAGTAACACTTTCATATTAGGTAGGAGGTGCCAACTTGAAAATAATTGAATATTAACTCATTGGTTCAACTTACTTTTATTAACTTTTTGATGCAAGACTCTTACAAAAAGAAAACACTGTTGAAAAACACCATAAAACCTAAAAAGTAAAATGAACAAGAATGTATTAAAGCAACAAATTAAAAAAAAAACCCAAATAGAAGTACAGTATGATAGGGTATGGTACCTGAGACCCTCATCTCAAACCCCAGTACCACACACACAAAAGTGCAACATGGTACTGATTGTGGAAATACATGATCTGAGTCTGTGAGGGTGTGGAGAACACCTATTCTGCTGAGCAGTAGAAGGAATGTTTAATGATAGGAAGCCACCCATGACTATCAGTCCAGCCACATGATAAAAATAGTTCACATCGAATCAGTAGCATTTTAGTACTGCTGAACTTTTAAGAATGGAAATGGCCTTCAGAGATCACCAAGGAGAGGTCTCCAAAGCACTGGAGCAGGAGAAGGGTTCAGGGCAGCCTCAGATCCCTCCCTTTCCTGGCCCCTAGAACTAGTAGCTCTGGTCAATACATGGCAGGCTGTGGCTGAGGAGAGAGAAAAAAAATGCAAATCAGACAGGAAACCATTAACCTCTAGCGGAAACCCTAATCCAAGAAATTAGCAATTTATAATCAAGGGCTGGTGTGGCTCAAGCAGAATGCCTGGCTAGCACATCGGAAGTGCTGAGTTCAAACCCCAAGTGTCAAAAACAAAAACCATAACCAAAGTTTTAGTGAAATTTGTTTCTTTGATCAGAGTACAGAGAATTGTAAAATGTTCTTATGAATCTTGCCCTTTCTGTTTTCAAGCATAAAATTTGTTTGCTAGGCATCAAAATAAGAACCTGCTAATTTTAGTTACTTGAGTGTAATTATTTCCTCTTGCTAACAAGGTCCTGAAGTGGGATTTACTATACCAGGCAGCTTTCCAAGCCCTTTACTGATAGGCACTGGCATAACAACATACACCCTTATTACAGAGCAGAGTAGAAAACTGAAGAACAGGGAAGTCAGGTGACTCGTCTGCAGCTCATAGTAATGGAGATCTGAGTAGCTGTGTGCTACTCTGTGCTGCCAATCACATGCATGCTACCTCTTTTGGAATAACAGAAGAGATTTGTTTTCTTTATTATAATTAAGCAATAATTTGTTTCCTTAATTATAATTATGCAAAATATTGAGATTTGAAATTTAATTTTAGAAACCACTGTGGTTTTTAACCTATGTATTTTATACATATCTAACAGAATGATGTCGTCAGTTTTTCAGATGCAAAGAATGACTTAACTTACTTAACTATTTAAAATAAGCCTTCCAATCAGAACTAAGTTGCAAAATGATGCCATCAATTAAAAATGTTTGACTTTTATGCCCATTTTGTGTATTGTTGCAACTAATGAGATCATTTGTCAATATTTTAAATACCATATCCACATACAAGTTAATGTGACTTCTTGAAAATTAATAATCAAGTGATTGATTTTTCCCCCTTATTTATTAGTTCAACCTTTAAAGAAATGCTACTAGGGAAGGCTGGACAATAAAAACCGTGAAACCACACGGTTGGCAGAAGAAACAACAAACTGTAAGTTAGAAGATTCATAAACATACATTTATTCAGGAAACACAATTACTAGTCCTTCATATTTCAATTATTCATTCCATAAGATGAAATATTCACAACATGTATTCTTTTAATTTGATACCAAGTCATGCTGAACTTCTTTCCAGATTAGCCACAACCGTATCTTCAATTAAATGCTATCTGTTTTAATGGTAAACAAAACAAAAAAACTTTAGGACAATGATTAAAAACAAAACTAAACAAAGCAGAAACCAAACACAGGTGAATCCATGAGTCCTAAACAACAAGGCCACCACCGCCTAGTATTATAGTAATAGATACCAGTGGCTATGTTAATACAGTACAGAATTGTCAATGGCAGTATTTACTTGCAATTTTTAACATGCTTTTTCAAACAGTAATCTAATTTTTATAAGTTTTAAAGGGAAACAGGTAGAAAGATGAGATGTTATAAATTTACATTTAAACTACTGGCAAATTCTATTACAAAAACAAACAAAAAGGAAGGCCAAGTGCCTTTTACTACTAAACAAACACTGAGAAATATAGTAGCTGAAAACTGAATTATCCTATTTTAACACCTGCAAACAGAATTTGGTATAAAGAAAAAACCTAGTGGTTCTCAAACTTAGATGTCCATTAGAATCACATGCAAGGATATTTACAACAACAACAACAACAGTGATGCTGTTTTAGCTGGCCTTCTGGGATGGGAACCAGGTATCGATCTTTTAAGCTCTTCAGGGCTAAGATGCAGCAAAGGTTGAGAACCACCTAGTCAACTCAAGAAATTTACACAAAAATGAAAGGAAAATTGGGGGAAAGAATCTTTTATATTTGTAAATTACAAGTCAAACACCTATAATATACTTACTATGTGCCACGTTTTATTCACCAACCATTCACTGACAGAATGAAAATTCCCTTCACATCTTCATTATATTAGACCAGTATCATACATCTTTGACAGTGAATTTTTCTGTGGTCAAGATTTAAAATTCTGAGATATCTTATGAGAAATGCATTAACAAAAACGCTGCTACTCATGCTCAACAATACCAAGCAAAACTACTATATTTGGCTCCTTTAAGCTATCCTTATTTTGAGAATTATAAATAGGTGCCAACCCACACAAAGAACAGATTGTGGATTACTGTAGGAGAAACAGAAAAGCTTACTCAACTTACTAAGTTTGAACACCAAAAAAGATTTAACTTGGCTGAAAGTTCTCAAACAGCTGAGAACACTGAACCAGGAAGCTATAATTTATAATGAAATGTTGATATGTCCTTAAAAGCCACTGCAGCTGTAGCTACACTAAAATAAGATTTCTTCGGGGTTTACTCACCCTGAAATGCAAGAATACAAGCATAACAATAATATTACTACTTTTATATGCACCAGTACCTCCCTTTAATATATAAAGCTCTACAACAAATACCTCTAATAATTTTACAATTAAATTAAGTCCATAATTTGTCTATACTACTTTGGTCTCAATATTTTAAAAGCACAGCAATTCATTTTGAAAATACACAATTTAACATGATCTTATCAATAATGTCAAGCACATTTGGTGGGGACTAAAGACACATTCAACCATGCAATCCAGTGTTCAATACCTACATGACAAATAACAATGCTGATTGACTTTTTGTTCTGAAAAAAACAAAAAACAAAGACCACTGAAAACTGCAATACTCTTTTTAAGCCTCACAATGCTCACAAACATGCAGAAAATGATTTACATTTCTATTCTTCCTGAAGGAATGTTACAAAATGCTCACTTTAATAAAACAAAAGATTAATGTCATATTCCTGTGTATTTCAATCATCTTTTTAGCAACTGTCTTTTAAAAGTTTTTAAAAAGTACAAATGTTCCTGTAAGTTGTGACTGCACATGTTTCAACTTTAAACTTCAGCTCTGAAGACCTCAGTCACAGTTATATACTAATAGCTGCCTTATAGTAAAATAGTGACATCCAGTGGACAAAAGACATGAAGTATCTTCTTTAAATTGTAAACAAAGATACAATCTATATCCAATTAATTTAATACGGAGATCCTATTCATTTCATCAGATTCTTATACTATCTCCCCATAATTCCTATGCATCATATGTGTGTGTGTGTGTATCCTTTTCTTCCTATTTCAAATCAGTTCTTTCAGTTGAACTAGCAAGACTGCACAGCTCCTAGGGGAAGTGAAGGTTGACTTCTTCTTTCAGTTATTTCCTACCAACTAACTGGCTAATCTCTTAGGCATGGAAGGACCAAATTATGAAAAAGACATTTAAATGGAAATGGATAGCATTAAAACATTTCCAGAGGATGAAATCTATACCTGTCTTCCACTTGTAATTTTTGATGCACTGTTTAATAGCAAAAGAAAAAGATATTCTCAGTAATGCTAATAATACCATATCTTCTTGCCTCGCTGCTTAAACCTTATGAAAGAATACACATTTTTGCAATGATTGTTTCAGTGTTTAAAAGCTCACTTGTATAAATCAGTATAAATGGACACTCATTATATATTATGCTTAAATAAAAGTAAAAAAACTTCCAATATGTTGCATTATGGGTCTATCACTGATTTTATATATATTATGCATATGTCCAAAGTACAAAATGCAGCAGAGATGTTAACAATGACAGTGTAATGAACTGCTGAAGGTGAGACTGTTATGTTTAATTTCTTGGAAAACTGTAAAGAAACTTCACAGATTAAAAAAAAAAATAGAGTAAACAAAACAAAAAAGAATCAGAGAACTGTTATTTTTAAATAAGTAGCCAAAAGAAGGAAACTTTTTTCCTAAAAAAAGATTAAGAATGTAAAAGTACATTTTAATATTTAAAAAGCAGTCTTAAAAATCTATAACAATTTTATGACAAAATCTGCATTTGAAAAAGGCCTGTAGAAACAGCAGGGCAGAACTGCCCTTATACCTTTTACTTTTTCTTGTCAGAAAAAAGTGTACGCATCTCTGCAATCATAATGATGTTAAAATAGGCATTTATAAAATGGCAAGGATTTCACGGGTAGTGTTTTTTTTTTGTTGTTTGTTTTACAATAACTGGCATCGTAGCCATCAGTAGGTCACAAGCAAAACTTCTTTAGCTAAAGAGCAAAATGGAATATAAAGTTTTCAACCTATTAGGTCTGTTGCCTGCGTTTGGCTGATCTCATTTTTTCGAAGCGTGACTCCATTTCTTCTAAGACTTTGGGTGTATACCGTACCACCAATTTAACCTTTCCTTGGGCTGCTTTCAGCAGTTCTACAGCTTTTTCATGATGTTCTCCTTCGACGCTCTGGAACACACACACACACACACACACACACACACACAGAGTTAGATTTTGTAATTAACTCAAAAGGAATATTTAAAATACAATTAAGTAAAAGTTTTAAGGTTATATCAACACTCAAATTGTTTTATAATTTTCATTAGCAGGAAATTCTGTTATAACACATAATTATCATATCAATGTATATTTCTGTTATTTAACTATATCAGAAGTAAACCAAACAGGTGCCAGTCAATACAAGTAAAATGAGAGTAGATTCCTAATTTTATGTATTGCTTTAGCTATTAACAAGGCTTTGTCCATACCATAAAAAAATCAAACTGAGCACGGCTACTTTACACTGAAGATAAACAACCACACTTAAAGTGCTTTAAAGATCACTGGGCTGGGGATGTAGCTCAGTGATGGGAGTGCTTGTCTAGAACCCTGGTTCTGATTCTTCCACCACAAGAAAATTTAAGAAAAAAAAAAATCATCACTGTACCAAACAACACTGCAAGATTCACTCCAGATTTCTCAATTATGGTTTCCTGGTTTTTCCCTACCTTCTTTAAATCAAATGCACCCCCAAGTGGTCATAAGATACTACTACAAACAGAAATAAAATTCATCCTTACCACTCCATTGACAGAAAGGAGCTGATCTCCTCGTTTGAGGCCCCCATGTCTGTCAGCAATCCCACCAGGAATTATTCGAGATATATAGATTGGAGAATTTTGTTCTTTGCCTCCCATAATATTGAATCCCAAGCCCTCTTCAGTTTTTGGGAGCTCAACAACTCGAGGATGAGAATGTCCTTCACTGGCAGCAAAAGCAGCAACTGTAGCCTGAAAGAAAAATTCATATCACCTTAGTTCTTTTATGCTTTTCTAAAAGCTAGCCTCTTTCCCTCCATTTCTACTTCCATCTTTTTCTTAGGAGATGCAAAGCAAACACAGAGACTCATGTAAGTTAAGGATGGCATACTTACATCCTTACTTCTGAACTACTTTTGAAGTATGGATTTTAAACGGTTTGGCTAGTCTGAGCAACTAAGCTGATTTTTTTCTACACCCCCAGGTACCAGGAGATGAACTCAGGGCCTCTCACCTACTTGGCTTGCTTGCTTGTCTGGTGCTTTGCCAGGTAACTGGAGATGGGAGTCTTGAGGACTTTCCTGCCTGGGCTAGCTTCAACCTGAAATCCTCCAGATCTCAGCCTCCTGAGTTATTAATATTAAAGGCATGAGCCACTGGTATCCAGATAAGCAGATTTTTTTTTTAAAAAGAGATGCAACTGAAAAGAATACCTTGGGACTGTGTAGGGTATAGTATTTTGAGGTTTATTTTAGCTTATTCAGTTCCAAGACCTTTTGTGAAGTTCTACGTGCACAAGGCTTGGCAGGCAGGCTTGTTGGGCAGATAAACACTTTATATTAAAGTGAAGAAACTCCTCTTGGTATGCTTGTAGCCCTGAGCTTCAGGGCCCCATAGCCTGAATCATTCAGGGGCCTTTGTACATGATACAACCTACCTACAACAGCACACATAAGAGGGGTCCTTTGCCTCTATGTACATTCTTTTGGCTGCTATACTTTATATACTATACATATCATAGACCAAATAACTAGCACATCAAGAAATAACAATATAAAAAAATGAGTGGTACATACAGCGAACACAAATGTTTCTGTTACTTTTGCTAAATACCTAGTTACTCTAAGGGAAAAAAAAACACACATGAAAGATGAAATATAGCCACCTCTCTTTAACACAGGTTGACAGTTTCTGTTTCATTTTGCTTTTAAAGGGCCCATTTTGCATGACATACCAGGATGTAGGTACAAAAGAAAGAAGAAACAAAACTTGTTGAATAGCCACTATCTTTGAAGCACTGAAAAAGGCCTCATTTTAGAAAGATGGAAGAAACAGGCTTACTGAAAAGCCAGTATCTTTAAAGCCCTAAAAAAGGCCTTATTTAACAAATAGAACTAAGGCTTACAAACTCAGTAAACTATTAAGGTTATATATAATTGCGGGATGAAAAATAAGTTTCTTTTCCTCAATCTGAGTCCAGGCTGTCTTTAAAATCTCAGCCTCCTGAGTGCCTGGATTAGAAATGTGCCCAACCATGCCTAGCAAAACCTAAGTTTCTATGGCTTTTTCTACTCTGATAAGTGACACTCACATTGAAGTATTTGTATTTAAGATAATCTAACATGTTCCTTTGTGAACCAGTAACTATCAATCAGAATTATCTCTATCCTAAGCACATACAATTCACACTGAGGTTAACATCTGAATTATCTGAAGAAAACAGTAGTAGAAGAAAGCAAACATGCCACCTGCAGCCCTGGAGACATAGCTTACCACTATGTAAAATGTAAAATGGAATAGCCTTCCTGGGGAGTACCACACTTCTTGTTACTGTGGTTTGAGACAAGTAATCTAACCCTCACAGTTCCCTTCAGTCATCCTCATCAACTGCAAAATTAGTGATGTTACATATATACATATATATGTAATACACACACACACAATCTCACTACTGACTCAATAGTTCCTAATATTACTGCCAGTTTATGTGAGGTAGTGTATATTCACTTATATTTGAACCTTAGTTCTTTCCTGTGCAATGTGATGTTTTTATATCCAATTTGTCTGCATCTCCTAAAGATTGTTTTTGAAGTAACAGTTCTGCAATATCAAAGCTATACATTTAGAGAAACACATACAACACTATTATGAATACAATTCATAATACGTGTATAATTGTGTGAGAGTTCTCGCAATGCTTTTAACTAAGCAGCATAAGACCTTATGTAAAGCCAATTTAAAAATCCTATTTTTAGTACTTAAGAAATGATACCTTATTTATCAAATGTTTATTATGAATCTAACATTGCACTTTCAAGTCTTTGAAATATGACAAATTCTCAATGTTGATAAAATGAGAAACTTTACCTTTGCGGTCGCATTGGCTCTCACTTCAGGACTGCTACTGATATCCACAGTCTCATAGACATGTTCATAAACCTGTAAAACATAAAGTTGTCATCTTATATTAAAACTTGGAGTATACCATATTTGAATTCTCTGTGAATTTAATGTGCTAGAACTAAATCTTTGTAAAGTGCTTTTTTATTAGAAATTCCAAAGGAATTTTTCTTTTTGAGGGGAGTGTAGCTGGTGTTAAAATTTACATTCTTGAGCATGTTGTGCTTCTACCACTAAGTGACATTCCCAAACCTTAGAAATTCCCAAAATGAGAGGGACAAGTTCAAATGTTCTACAGTTTGTTTCTTAAGACATTTCTGAATCTAACTTTTAGAGTTTTATGTTAGCTAATTTTTAACTTAAATTTTTGGTAAATCTTAATTATGTTTACTTACCTCTCTCACAGCATTGCAGAACTCACTTTGAAGAACTCTTTGTAAAGCCTGAAGTTTCTGTGGTGGTACCTCTCCACTCCTTTGTAGTTTTTCCAACAATTCAATTGCTCTACAAATATCTAGAGTTAAACAAAGAGAAACTGATCATTTTCTCCAAGGATTCTCTAAATGCCTCTGAAACACTGTACTAATTCCCTAAGGACTAATCATAAGTAGAAAAGGAATGCAGACTCTGAGCACACTGAATTTTACAGATTAGAAAAAAACAACCTTGCAGAACTATTACTTGAAAAACAGAATCTTTAGGAGATGTAGGTAAACTGGATATAAAACCATTACATTTCAAGGAAAGAACTAAGGCTCAAATATAAGATACACGTGAATACATTTCCTCAGAAAAACTAGCAGTAATATTAAGAACTATTGAGTCAATAAAAATTTATGAAATCATCGTATCAGCAACCAGAACACTGAATAGTATGAGCTTGTATACTAGTGATGTCACTGTTCATTTTTCCTAGAAAAACACAATACATATAGACATGTACTTCCAGTAACTCTTTTAAATGCTGTTATCAGCCAGGACACATTTAAATAGCACAAATGAATAAAATGTAACAACCTGTTTTTGATATAGGATTAACACTGTGTTTTAATTTAGGCAAGCTCACTAAATACAAATGTAGCTGGAGTTGTGGCTCAATGGTTGAGTGTCTTTCTATCAAGAGCAATCCTGAGTTCAAACTGCAGTAATAACAAAAACTCAATCTAGTCAAATTTGTCAATCCAGTCCTCATACTAGCTGCATGATCCTAGACAAGTTACTTAACTTCGCTGTTTCTCATTTTCTTTCAATGTAAAACCTTCCTCATAAGTAACTGGTGGTTGGGTGCTAGTGGCTCATGCATGTGATCTTAGCTACTACACAGGAGGCTGAGATGTGAGGATCATGGCTCAAATCCAGCCCCAGCAGGAAAAGTCCCTAAGACTCCTATCTCCAATTGCCATCAGAAAACCAGAAGTGGCACTGTGGCTCAAAATGGTAGAGCACTAGCCTTGAGCAAAAGCTCAGTGACAGTGCCTAGTCCCTGAGTTCAAGCCCCACAAAGGACAAAAAAAGAAGAAAAAAAGAAGTAACTTGTGACTGAATGAAAAAAAAAAATACGCAAACAGGGGTCTAGCAAGCAAACGTGTTAAACTGATAATTAATCATAAGAAATATTCAGGGGTCCTATATAGTTATACAAATATAATAAGCATTTTATACAACTGTGTGGAGTGTACTTGTATTATGATTTAAGAAATTTTAGAAGATTCAGAGTCATGTTATAACAGTATTAAAGCCTATCTTTAATAGTTTTGATTTTGTTTTCTACAACCATTTCTGTACCCTAAAGGGCTAGAGTACTATCTTTCTATTCCTTTTTTTTTTGACTTATTTAATGGTATACTAAAGGACTGGGAAGTTTTCAGTATAGTATGAATAAGATTTCTTTATGTTTGCAGATATAACTACAACTAAAAGAGGCAGTCTTCTTTTTTCCTTTTCTATTCTAAATAATAAAAGTTTAAACATGAGCTAGCCAAGTTTAGTGGAAACAAGGAGACCTTCTCTATTCTGATTTCCCAACATCATAATGGCTGGTAAGTGGGAATTGCTCATTCACTTATTTTGACTTGCAAAATCATTATAAGTAGGTCAGACATGGCTGGAGATACAGCTTGGTAAGAGAGGGCTTGACCAGCATGTGTGAGGTCCTGGATTCAATACCCAGCAGAGGGAAAATCCAATTATCAAAGAATTTACTTTACAAAAGTAAAATACTAGCTGAGCATTTGTGTCTCATGCCTATAATCCTAGCTACTCAGGAGGCTGAGATCTGAGGATCACAGTTCAGAGCCAGTCCAGGCAGAAAAGTCCTCATGAGACTCTTATCTCTAATTAACCACTCAAAAACTGGAAGTGGTGCTGTGACTCAAGTGGTAATGCACTAGCCTTGCGCACAAAAAGGCTCAGGGACAAAGCCCAGGCACTGAGTTCAAGCCTATAACCGACACCTCCTCCCCCCCTCCCCCTGCAAAAAAAAGTAAAATACTAAACCTAAACTGCATCAAATACATGTTGAAATGTTGTATTCCAGGGAGCTGTGTTTTGATGAATTGGAAGACACTCAGGAGCTTGATCATATGCACTCATTGTGAGTACTTGTTACTAGGCTGCTGGAACTCAAAGAATTAGACTTTCTGTAACCTGATTTTCTTATCCAGCTAAATCAAACCACTAGTAATTCCACAGAAAAAACTCCGTAAGAGCAAAAACATAAAGCCATGACTACCAAGATTTAATGCCAAAGTATGGAGTTCCCAGACTATTACTTAAAAACATATATAGAAGAATGCTAACATAGGCAAAGCTTTCAAAGAAAAACACCTATTCCTATTAACACCAATGGGTTTGTTCCTATTTACACAGCATATCATCACTGTGTTCAAGTGGAAGATGTTACCTTTTTAAGCCTAATTCAGTAACTTTTCCAGAGCAAATATTCCATGATAAAACCAAGCTTGAATGTTCTGGTGGGCTGGAGAGAAACAAAATCATTTATAAAAAGGACTTCCAGGTGGGGAATATTGTAAGTAATAAGCTTACAATCTTGAGAGAACATTTGTTTATCAGAAAGGCAAGAGAGAAAAGAGGTTCTCTTAAGTACACGAACTCAAAAATGTATTTCCTTGAGAGGTGGGAAGGGGTAACACTGGTCAAGATGCACTGTACACATAAACTGACAGGTTAAATTGAAACTCCCTTGGACAATTATTTAAAGGTAATAAAACTTGAAATGTTTTTCCTTAAAAGGAGGATGTTAATGCTCCAAATATAATAGCAAATTTTAATGCGCACCAAAGAATTTCAACATTTATCAACAGTACAAAATATTTAACTTGGTGCTTCTTGACTATTACCATGTGTCAGAAGGATGCTTGAATTGTTTGAAATAGAGGAAATGCAGAAGACTGAAACACTGAGCATCCCTAATCTGGAAGAGGGACAGCCAGGTGGGTACTTTCAGAGGCAGCTAGCTCTCTACAGAGCAGAGGGGTTTTATTTTCCATGACAGTTTGCTCTAAGCGGCAATTAAGCAATCCTGGTTTGCAATTGTGAGGTTGTTGTTTTTTTTTTTTTAAAGAAATTGCACCTACTAACGACGTATAATCTACCAAACTCCACTTGGTTATGTAATCTGCTTCCCAAGCTCAAAATCACAGCGGGGCTGCTTTTGACAGCACCCTCCCTCCCTTTTCTGAGAGAAAAAGCCAAGAAATACCCCCAACTCAAAAGCAATCGAGACTGAGGTGATGAAAGTAACCAAGGAGTTTGCTTTTCAATGAAAAGGGGGGACGTGTGTGTGTGTGTGTGTAGAAACCTGTTGAAATGTGCCCTGAATACGGGAAGGGTGTGTCTGCGGGCACGGGGGGCTGCACGGGGCGGCGAGCGCCCGGGTGCAGGTGTGTGTCAGCGGGCGCCCCAGGGGAAGGGTGTGCCTGGGGCTGCGGGAGGCTCTCGGGGACGGGTGCCGGCGGGCCGCGTCAGAACCTGGGGAAGGCAGGGTGGTGCGTGCGCAGGCGCAGGCGCAGGCGCGCGCAGGGCACACGGGGTTGGGCGCGCTGGGCGCTCGCGGTGCCCGCGCGCGCAGACGCACCGACAGCGCGTGCAGTCCGCACCCACCAGGTGGGCGGCGTCCGCTCCTCGGGGCCACAGGCCCCTGGACGGTGCTCCCGCCGCGCCCATCGCAGCAGGCCGCGGGCGTGCCCCGGCGGGAAGGGCGACGCGAGGCCGGAGGAGCCCGTGGGCACGCAGGAGGACGGGGCTCCAAGGACCGCAAGCGCCGCCGCCCACAGCGGCCGCCCTCGCGGGGGACAGGAACAGGTTGGCTCCGCGACTCCGGCCTGCGCGTCTTCTCCTCCCCTGCAGCGTCTCCGCACTCCCTCGGCCCTCCCCTGGCACCCCGGTGTGGGAAATCCCTTCACTCACCCCGCTCCAGCCGTACCGGTTCCCCCAGCGCCGCCATCTTCTCCCTCAGCGATGCCGGACCCACCGGAAATGACGTTACGGGACTGCGTTGGGTGGGGCGGGGCCTAGTGGGAACCGGAGGGGCCCGGACGGGCCAACTATCGCGAGAGCAGGGGAAGAGGGACGCTCGCGAGCCTCGCGGAGTTCAGAGCGGGCGCGACGCGCGTGGCCCCGTCGAGCGTGGCCGCGTCCAACTTGGCCCTCGCGAGGGAGCCATCTACCGGATTCCCCGGCCTCCTGACTCTTGTTCCTTGTTTCCTGCGGCCTCGGGCCGTGTCGCCCGGCAGACCCCACGGCAGGAAGGGTTCTAATCCCCACTTGACCTTCGACCCGTCACTGACAGCCCTGGCATCCGGACTGCCTTCTCCTCTCAGCCTCCGTTTCCCGCTTTGTGTTAGGAGGGAAGGTCCTACCCGCCAAGTTCTTTAAACTAGTTATTATCATTAGGAATGGGGAAGGGGCCTGTACTGGACTTTGAACTCTGTGTCAGGGTGCTGTCCTCTAGCTTCTTTTTGTTTCTTCTTTTTTTTTTTTTCCACTCAAGGCTGGTGCTCTACCACTTGAACCACCGTTTTTCCAGCATTATTTTTTTGCCAGCTTTTTCATTGAAGATCAGAGGCTCATGGATTTTTCTGCCTGGGCTGACTTCAAAGCTTAAAAATCTCAGCTCCTTCACTATCTAAGATTATACAGCACGAGCCATGAGCGCCCAAGTGATACCTACTCTTTCGAATGGAGGAGCTAGGAGCTGATAGCAGAGAAAGCAACTACATTCCTCCCGCCCCACAGTATGCATACATATATATGCTATATATGTGCTTTATGGCATATGTGTATAGCATGGGCAGACATTTGGTATAGGTGTATACATGTATGCGTGTATGTATGGAGAAGGTAGGGTTCCCCATACACATTCTCAAAAGCTACTAGAAAACATGCTCCATCCAAATGAGGAAGTTAGCTGATCTAAAAAGCAGGAATATCCAATATAAATGAAATTAAGATGATTTCAGAATGAGTGTTGCATTAGGTTTTTCTAGATTAATAACAAACAATGGATATGCACACACAAGTTTGTTATGAAGGATTCACTCAGATGATTATGGGGCATTAGAAGTCTAGTGTTTATTGTCTTCAGGAACTACGATGGTATAATTTTAGTTCAAACCCAAAGATCTAAGAGACAAGTGAACCAATAAGCTAAGTCCTAGTCCATGTTTGAAGACCTTGGAACCAGAAACAGGGAAGTCTGAGGGCAGAAGATAGATGTCCCAGATTAAGCAGAAAGCAAATTCCGGTTCCTTCTTTGCCATTCTATTTAGGTCTTTAATAGGTAGATTGATGATGTTCCCCCCATTAGTGAGGGCTATCTTTTTTACCCAATTTGCTCTTCAGATGGTAATGTGTTGTAAAAACTTTGTCACTGACATCCAGAAACAGTATTTTCCAGCTATCTGAACATTCCTTAGCCCAGTTGTGTTGACACAAAATATTAAGCCATCACAATCATGAAGGGAAGCTGAGGATAAGAACTACACAGCTGGCATACAGAGACACTCAGTCACACTGGAGTAGGTCAGAGGACTATGGAAGAAGTCATCAAGAAAATAAAATTCACTAGTGAGATCACAAGATGGATAACACATGTTTACCTTTTGTTGATGTGTTTGGAGACGAGTTGGTGATAGGTATATAGAAAACCAAGTGAATGGGGGAGAAATTAAGCAATTATTAATCCTAAAAAATAGTTGTATACTGAAGGAAATATAAAGATGCAAAGCAGATGCTGTCTTGTATCCTAAAAATAGAAGGATACAAGACAGATAAGGTACATACAACAAATCTATAGGAAGCTAGGAGGAGTGATAGGTGTCACTTTTTTATTATTTATTTATAAACATTGTAACGTTATATAATTTTTTAAAAAGATACATACATTGCTTTAGGGTGTACAATGTCTCTCTGTACAATTCAGGCTAGCCTCAAACTTGTGATCCTCCTGTTTGAGCCTCATCAGTGCTGGGATTATAGGTGTGTCAGCCAAAAAGATGCATTTTAATAAAGTGAAAATAATAAAAGATAAATATCTATCAAAATATTAAATATTTGATATATTTCTTTTGAAATGTGTATCAGCCTCATGTTACAGCTTGCACATTGGTTACAGGTTTTACTAAACAGGCATGAGAATGTAATGCACAACACTAATAAAACACTCTCTGAATGTTTCAAAGCAATACAAGTTTGAAAGCTTAACCATTAGATGATAATTTTCATTTGTTAGCTTTATGAGCCTGGATTATTTGGTGTTTTACCTTTGTTGAACTGTGATTATCCCATGGGTTTGCCCTTTTTGATCAGCTACTCATCCTTGCCTGGTTCAAATCAACTGTGGCTTGATGAAGTTGAGAAGATGGTGAACTTGCGCTTTGATAGACCTATGGGAGGCAGGCAGAACATCCCCCAATCTCTCATAGAGGACTAGGCATTGCAGGCAATGCACTTAGCATGTCTAGTATCATATATTGCACTTTTAGGGAAATGTTCCAAATTCCATAGGAATAGTTTCCCAATATTATGGTAAAAACAACAGACTAAATGTCAGGAGTTCTGGTTTGTAATTTTTTTTTTTTTTTTGGGGGTCCGGTCGTGGGGCCTGAACTCTGGGCCTGGGCGCTGTCCCTCAGCTCTTCAGCTCAAGGCTAGCGCTCTACCACTTGAGCCACAGCGCCACTTCCGGCTTTTTTCTTTTTGCTTATGTGGTGCTGGGGAATCGAACCCAGGGCCTCAGGCATGCAAGGCAAGCACTCTACCACTGAGCCACCTTCCCAGCCCCTGGTTTGTAATATTGTGATAGTGTAATTTTGAGAATATCACTTATTACTGTAGACATGTTTCCTCATCTGCATATGAAAATTACTTGCTACATAGTAGCATACATATTAATATAAACATGGTTCTTTAGATTCTATTGAATTTTAAGGACTTTTTGGACATCAGATTTTCAGGGAAAAGGCTCTGGGAATCCACTTTTTTTAATATTTAAAAAAATGTGCTAGAGATTGAACTCGGTTCCTTGTTCATGCTAAACACATTAGAACATACTGTCATAAGAACCTGCATTTGAGGTTCAAAAGATTATTTCTAGGGCCTTTTTAAAATAAAATTGTTTTCTTTATGAAATTGCAGAGACAAATTGTTGAGAATTACCACCATTATATTGAAAGAAACAATGTTTTTTCAGTTTTAAAATTAATATTAAATTATTTGAGGTAATAAAATCTTTCTGAGAAGGATAAATATGATTCAAGTTAACTAACAATGAACTAAGCATTGTCCTCTACATAGAAAATAACAGAAATCTCTGATGTAAGGTCTCAAACCTTCCTCTGTAACTAATAAATCCTATCAGAGTTGCGAGAGTCCTAGAGAGTACAATTGCTTCACTTTGCAGAAAATAGTGGAAAAGTCTTGGGTCTCAATGGAGGCAATTTTGAACTTGAATGAGAGAGAGCTGCTTTTTTGCTTTCATTGCCTCTGCCAGATGATTAAATCACCTGACCTTCCAAACCAGAATTGTTCTTGCTGTGAAAGAGCTTCTTCCTATTACTTCCTGCCTTGGAGATGAAGGGGAACTTTAAAATTAGAATAGGAAGTTTGGGTCTACACAAATCTCAGTGAAAGCTAACTTACGCAAATTTAGGTTTTGTAAAGCAAATGAGAGTCCTAGGTAGAATGTCAGAGTATTTCTTAACCTAAGAAATTGCAAATACAGTGTACTGGGAGCATCATTAAAGAGAAAAAGGGCCTGGGTGAATAAGCTGGGGGAAGGAAATTGTCTAGGAAAGCTAAGAAAATGAAAATAATATAAGGAAGCAAGAGGTGGTCCTAGTTAAAGGTTTTGCTTTTTTATTATCTTGAACCACGTAATAGAACCAGTAGACATTACTATATAAAGTTGATAATTGTAACATATCACTGAAGAATAGACTCTTAAGTAAAGGAATCTATTCAGGCATTTGACAATCCAATTAAAGGCTCAGCCCCCCCCTCTCCCCAACAGTTTCTATTATAGATATATAATATATATATTCCTCAGGAAACTAGAAGTTGGGATAAATAGCTTCCTTATTTTAAACGTGTATGATTGCAAAATAGCCTTCATTTTAAAATGAACTAAACAATATGCAAAAAAAGCAGTTCATCTAATTCAACATAACATTAGGGGGAAATTTCTTCCAGAACACCTTTTAATGTTATCACACATCTCTGCCCCAATATAAAGTCCTATGCTGCAGATCCAGAGATATAAAAGTAACTCCTGCTTCTTGTTAGGATGAGTTTTAGCTTGCACTAAAGTCTTGGAAGTTGACTTCTTCTTCTTCTTCTTCTTTTTAATGTCAGTTGTTTCATCATCACTCCATGGTACATGTAAGGCACAGATTGATATATTTTTCTGGCATCTTTCTGACGCACCCTTGCCCTAAATAAATCTGTTTGCCAGGATCTGGTCGCTTAAATTAGCCATCTCAAACTCTTGGTGCTGCCAACACAGGCGATTGTGCCAATGTTCTCAGCATCTCCTGGCACATGAACTGTTGCCTTTCCTTTGGCTTTCTATGAGTACCTGGGGCCATCGTACTTCCTTCACAAGATAGCAGCCTGGCGTATGTGTCCTGAGAAAGAAGTTTGGATTGGTTGGACTCACTCTGGTTCTCACTAGGGGGTTGTGTCCTTCACAGTGTATTTTCAGCCACACAATGTATTGTTCAGAATTTGTCGTGCACATACTTGCAGATTGGCAGAGCCACCTGCCAGGGACGAGAACCTTTTAAGTTGTTGTCAAACGTCATAAAATATGTTCCGTGATTAATTTTTGTGGGCACAGGCTGGTTTTTGCACAGAGTCCAAATCTTAGGATATGTCACAGTGACTAAATGGCACCGGCATGCTGAATGAATTTGGAATTTGTTTTGTCAAGTGTGGGAGCAGGCACACAGATGGGCTTTGATCCAGTGGTGCCGCTTGGAA